TAATATAAATTAACATTTAGACCATTATAAATGCAGCCGAAAGATACCAAACATGGCATACCTGTGTTCTCTGTTAACAATAGTATGCAATTCTTAAATGTTCATTTAAAAGAGTTTGTATCAATACATAAGCAAAACACTATAACAGGCAAAATTATGAGATGGGGAAAATTGGGTACATGTCCATACATTTCTCAAGTGGATATATCTAGAAGGAGATAGATATAATTAGGATGGACTGTATAGTACAAGGGTACATTTATCTGTTTCAAAGTGAATTTAGAGTGAAAAATCTACATTCCTTTGAGTTGTAAAACCATCTTATCTTGATGTGTCTTTGTTACCACGGTAACCAGAGGCCTGTGGCCTCATTTATAAAACGTGCGTACGCACAGATTTGATCTTAGAGTGTGCATACACTAAAATCCACGGCAACGTTCATATTTATAAAAACGGTCTTTGACGTGGAAAAGTACTTACCGTCACGTCAGGGTCTGAGCAGACGTACGCACATTTTTATTGTTTTTTTTATTATTTTATTTTACAAGAGAACTTGCGAAGTCTTGATTTACTAGTAATGCGTAAAATTGAAAAAAAAAATGCAGAAACGCATCTTGACTGTTTTGTCTGTGTAGCCTATAAGTATAGGCCTATGTCGTGCAATAACAGTTTTAATATATTCTATTCAATAACATTGTTAACTGTTTTTATTTATAACATCTGCTGCTTTGCTTCTGTGAAAATGAATAGACATCAGCCTTAAACTTTGTTTTTGTCATTTACAGCAGTTATATTTGTATTTTGTGTCAGTACATTAATGGCACATTTGAGCAGCATTAGTAAACTGTGTAAATATAAAGAAATGTCAAATCACATGCACATGGTTTTTTCAGACCGGAGACCATAATCGTGTAATAATTTATTTTATTATGATATGAAACGTCCAATTTTTCAAACATTTTTTAAAGTTTTGCAAGAATTTCGTGATACTAAACGTTTTATTAGTTGTCATATCAAGTGATTTTAAAAGTAGGATGGCTCACTTTTTATAAGATGACTGAAAATTTTACTTGAATTCGTAGTTTATTCTTACTTTTGGAAACCTAATTGTTTTATAATTACTATTACTATTATTATTATTATTATTATTTCTGTAGTTTCTAGAAGTAGTAATTTTGATAATACTCAATAGAAAAAATATAACTACACACACATCGTTTGTCCACTGAATAATTACTCATTATTACATAAAAAGCGCTCCCGCACGAATCTCTACCTCCGCCAGCAGGTCCTCAATTTCAGACTCAGTAACGTTTTTCCTTTTCTTTGTGCTCATCATTCTAAAGCATGGAAATTCGGATATTGGCGTGTGCTCTTTTATATGGTAATGTTATTAATTAGGGGGCGGAGATCTGACACCAGTCATCTGCGCACAATTTCAAGATCATTTGCGATTTATAAATGTCACATCTGGAAGAGAGGCGTACGCACGTGTTTTTGCACATTCGTTTTCTCTGAATCGCACTTACGCGCTTTTGAGAAATGATCTTAGAACAAATTTAGGACGGTTTATATGCAAGAGATGGGGAAAATTGGGTACATGTCCCTACATTTCTCAAGTGGTTATATCTAGAAGGAGATGGATATAATTAGGATGGGCTGTATAGTACAAGGGTACATTTGTCTGTTTCAAAGTGAATTTAAAGTGAAAACTCTACATTCCTTTGAGTTGTAAAACAATCTTATCTTGATGTGTGTCTTTGTTACCACAGTAACCAGAAGCCTGGTTCTCTCTACCACATGTTTTGCTTGTTGGGGAGGGGTATTGTCCACTATTTGTTAAATATAACAAATACTCATGTGTTTGATTGGTCCAAATGCTACAGCCCAAACAAGCTCAAATTTCATTGGACAATGTGAAGTGCAGCTGTAATTTCCAGCTGTTAATCATGAATCGGTTGAAAATTATGCAGCCACTCTCTGTTTTCAGTGTTTTTTATTTTTATTTTTAACAAATGTGAAATGGTTAAAATTGAAGTTGCATTAATAGTGTTTAATTTATTCTTGTTTATGTACTGCATACCCTTACGAAAATTAACCATGGTTCCCTTTCATGGGAACTTCGAACTGCATCCTCTAGGGGTCGCTATGGGGAACGCCTCGTCGTGACCCG